TCTAAAATTAACGAACGAACACGAACGTTGTTCGAATCACTTAACGAACAGAACTCAAACATGAGATACTCGGTTCAATTCAGTTCGTTTACAGTTCTAGTCAAACCAGTGTATACAACAAAACCTGAGCAAAATACATACTAAAACATTCTGACTTTGATGCAACAAATTCTTATTAATTCCAGTAATTGTAAACCTTTTCTATTATATTTTTTATAATTATAGATAATTTTTTTTGAAGTTTTCTTAGTTAATATGACATAATATAGTGATTTTAATCGTTAATTTAATCGTTTGCTTTCTCATTAGCTTTTTATAACCTTTTGTCTTCTTATTAATTTTGAATTTCTTCCAAACCAATTTGTATATAAAATATAGTTAACTTTAATTATCACACATAAGAATATAATAATTGGAGATAATTCATACATATACAATAATTGGAGTTGAAGAAAATGATTGATGAGTAATTGGAGTTGGCTTGACAAACCTAGTGACACAAGTTGAACCTCTCTATGTTTGATTTGCTAGTTCGATGAACCTTTACATATTTATTTTTTTTATTAGTAGTGAAATTACTTATATGTTCCCGATATTTTTATTATTTATTAAGATGAAATGTCTATTTTATAAATATAACAATTATTTTTTTAAGCTCAATTAGAGGGCTCGAGTTTGAGTTTGGTAAGATTAAGTCAATCTCACAATTAGACCAAAACTCAAGCCCTAAATACGATAAGGACCTTTGATTTATGTTAGTGTTGATTGCCCACCCAATGTGTGTGCAATAAAAAATACATACTAATATTTATGCTCATTAAATAAATTTTTTATTACTGAAGCAAACTTTAATCTTTTAAATATTTTTCATAAAATAATTTTATATTAGTAGTTATAATATTTAGCAGTAGTTATATTGAAAACATATACTTAAATAATTAAAAGTAAAAATAGTCATAGACAGTTATATATAGTTAAAGTAAAAGTAGTTTTTATATGAGTAAAAATGCAAATTTATATAATGACGATAAATATTAACTCCAACACTAATTCCAAACTCCAACACTAATTTATATTGTATAGATATTGATATGATGGCTTGATTAGTAGTATAATATGATATTGATAACTCTTGCAGTTGAAATCTAAAACCTTCTTTGTCCTAAACTCGTTCTTATATAGTATAAGGATAAGGAAGTATAAGGATAAGGATATGATATGTGAGGTGATCAATACTCCCCCTCTTCCCGTAATAAGCTTTTTTTTTTTTAATTTATTTATTTCAAATTATAATCTATTTTTCAATTTAAAAAAATGAAGGGGGAAGCAATCGGCGAGAAAATATGAGAAGCTCCTCTAGCGTCAGCCTCATCTCCTGCTGCTGGCCGAGGTTGCTCGCACCCGCTTCCACTTCCACTTCCACTTCCACTTCCACTTCCAGCTCATCACCTCCTCTGAGAACGATGATGAACCCAAAAATAGATGCTACAAAGTCCCACAATAGATCAATTACTAGCACAAGTTCAACTCTTCTTTCATCATCATCATCTAGTTCTACTACAGTTGATAAATTCCAACAAGTCATCCATTCTAGCTCGACAGGTAATTATTTTCATCAAGACCAATCATCTTTGGACTTAATAATTCCTGATCATAATGCTGATTCAAGATTTCTGTTTTTTTTTTTAAATATTGGGTTTTCTTGGAGAGTGGGTAGATGGTTGGCAAAAGTGCTGGGAACAAGGGTTGACACCATGGGACTTGGGGCAGCCTACCCCAATTCTTGTCCATCTTCATAAGACTGGTGCCCTTCCTAATGGCAGGGCTTTGGTCCCTGGTTGTGGTAGTGTGAGTATTATCCTACTAGTTTAAAGTTCTAATTTTTCCTCTTTTGCGTATCTGGGATTTCTGCAATTGGGTTTATGGATTGGAACTGATGCTTAGAAGTGTAGCACATGCTTGTTGGATTCAATTGTTGTACGTTTGGGTTCATGGCTGTAAATTGCCTGCCTTGGTTAACTTTTGTTCAAGATTTCATGATTGTATAAATCACTGCAATATGGTTGCTTTTGGGTCCATGCACTATTGCCAGGTAGCTACAAGTTTACTGCTTCAGGTGCGTTGTGAACACAATATTTATTGAACGAGTAGCTACAAGTTTACTGTCACTCTGTCTTCTTTGGTTTGCTATCATGCTGAGAACATTGGTAGATTAGTTAAGTGCTTTTATTGCAGAATAGCTATGTAGAGGAAAATTTCAGATTTTATGCATTAAATGCAATCCGCTCAATGAAGTGCGCTTCATCCCATGCACTACAGCACCATGGTACCCTTGTGCTATGGGGATTAGGTGATCCAGGTTTTTGAACATGGCAGTGACTATAGGAAGAAAAGAAATCAAGGTTCTTTTGACTTCACCATACTGCAGGTTTCATTTTTATGCTGCATGTTTGCTTGCTTTTAGTAAATTCACCCAGTTGACATTTGTAATCAAGAGTCTGTACTAAGGAATGGTGGAGATCATCTTGGAAATCCACATAAAATTTATTCTTTTTTTTTTCACATTTTCTGTTTTGGGTGGTACAAAAGTTGGCGTAGGTGTTCTGCAGCTTAGTTTTAATTCTATACTGGTTGTGAGTCCAAAGTCGTTCCTTTCTGTTCTTCTTTCTTTTCTCCTTGACTTATCAATGGGCTTTTGTCTGCTGCAGGGCTATGACGTCGTGGCAATTGCCTGCCCTGATCGCTATGTTGTTGGCCTGGATATATCAGAAGTAGCTCTTGAAAGAGCCAAAGAGGTAACTACTTATTTTCCGAATGCCGTTTTTGTCCCCTCACACTGAAGTGTATTTTCATTTATGAAAAGTTTGGGCAACTTTCTAGCTGGTCAATGAGGAAGTGCTAAGGCATCAAGGGGCATTGGCTAAATGTTGGTCACTAAATGCACATAACATGTGTTAAATGTTATTAGTTCTCATCTTGAGTCATTTACTATGATACATTTGTTCAGAAACGTTAAAACTCTAGGCTCTTGCCATAATTATCCTCTTTATTCTTGGAGGAACAACTGCCTTGGATACGGAATGCTAGGATTCCTTGATTCGAGTTCTCAGACTTGATTTTTTCTGAATGAAAAACATGTTCTAAGTACTTTATACATATTATTATCCATTTTCTCATACTGTTGTGGAAATGTTTGCTTACGCGGCACATCAAGGCAGTTGTCCTCATTATCAAGCCAAGAACACTTTGAATTCTTGAAGGCAGACTTCTTCACATGGCGTCCCACTCAGTTGTTTGATCTCATTTTTGACTACACGTGAGTATTAGATGACCATCAGTTGATTGTCATGTGAGAAGAAATTTTTGCTTGCTAACTATTGCACGAATTCGCTTGCAGATTCTTTTGTGCCATCGATCCAGATATGAGACCATCTTGGGCTGTTGGAATTCGAGACCTTTTAAAACCAGATGGAGAGCTCATAACTCTGATGTTTCCAGTATGCTATCATCTCGTCAAATTGCCTTTCTCAGTGTTTTACTCTGAAAATGATTTCACCATGTTAGCATCTGGAATTTGTGTAGTGCGATTATTGTAAGAGTATAATATATGTGTTGATAGATCTATTGTTGAATGTGGGTTAGACAATTGACTGGAATTCTTGCTTGTGTGTTATCTTCTAGTTTCATATGCCTAACATGTCTGATAGGAAGGTTAGCAACATCTTATTTGCACAATGTTATTTTAGAGTAAATTCTGTGCTTTATCCTACTAAATCTGGTCAACATTGCTTTTTGAATAGTTGTTCTTGAATTTTTTAGATTCTCATTATATTTATCTTCTCTTTCAACAGATTAGTGATCATGAAGGGGGACCTCCATACAAAGTATCTACTACTGAGTATGTGCCAATTTTAGTTATCATAATCAGAACAATCTTGTCGTCTCTTGTGAGAATCTATTTATTCTTTTTAAAGATTGACATATGGAGAAGCACTCACTTTTTTATTTACATTCATTTTTTGGTTCTGCATGCAACTGATGACAAATCTGTGGATGCAGTTATGAAGAAGTGCTGCACCCATTGGGGTTCGAGGCTACCTCTATCGTGGAAAATGAACTGGTTGTTTCACCTCGCATGGTAAGATTTGTCATGTTAGTTTTGGTCTTGGTTCATTTGATGGAAATCCCATTGAAAATGAACTTGGCTATTGCATATGAATAAACACTGTTACATTAGGACATTCTGATCTGAATATCTGAGATCCAAAACGGAGAAACCATCTATTGCTATTATCTGCCTTTTGTTAATTGTCTGATTCCTTTCACAGCCGGTAGAATCCTGTTAAAAAAAAAAAAAACTTTTGGAGATAATTTGAATTAATCGATATCTGATATTGCCCAATAGATGGCTCTCATTGGTACAAGAAATGTAATTGATGATGTCCAGTTTATGTTTATTGTAGTAATGTTAGAAGTCCTCCCCACCAAAAGCTGAAAGTATCTCTTTGGCTTATATGCGTTTCTTCTTACGCTGTACTTGAGCTTTGGATATGGTGGTCCATTTATTATGGTTTTGGCTGTTTAATCACCATTAACCTTGATACATGGCAAAGACCTTTGATAGTAATTGCACTCTTTAATTCCTTGGCAGGGACGAGAGAAGCTTGCTAGGTGGAAAAGATCAATCTGTCTATCAACTTTGTGATGTCATTTCACCAGATAAGTCGAGGTGGTCTGATTAGTTGTTTAATTGTTTAGCGTATAGATTTGATCCATCGACTAATGCAATGGGAAGGATTTTTAAAATTGCCTTCTTGGCATTCTTGATGTAAGCTGGTTTTGTCCTTGTACTTGCCAAGAACGCAAAAGAAACCGAGGGGAAGAAATGAAGAAAGAGAAAATATCATACTCCCTGCGCACTCTATATTTCTCTGAGATGGTTGGAAGACTGACTATACAGGATGTTCTGGTCTACCATCTTCTAATTTCCATAAGCTTTGGTAATGCCATCCAGTCAAGAATCAAAACTGTAATACTCCATGATTTAGGTTTGTTGAATTGCTTCCCAGATTGAAACTCTGTTCAATCTAAGTCTCTTTGTTGTTTCATGCTAGTCTGGACAAACTTGTACAAGTCTGAGTTTGAGCTGCTTCTTTTGTGTGTACTCATTGTAATTTATCCTTCTATGTGCTTTAGCTACATACAGGAGATAGACATTCTTGATCTTAGTTGAATCACGTATAAAACTTGGTTTAATTAGCTTGGGAGAAAGCTCTATCTACTCATATGGTTTTTCCTCTTTTTTTTTTTTTTTCCTACAACTAAAAAATAAATATTTGGAGCAAATTAATTCAACTCGAATAATGAAAAAAATTGGTGAAAATGAACAAGAATTGATCATATTTCCACTTGGTAGCTGGTCTTATGGTTTCTGCAAATGTGTCTACTTGTACGGTGGGCTTCCACGGTTGTACACCACTTTGTTGTTTATATATACAATCAAATCTATTAGACGTGTATTATTAATTTTTTTTTTATTATTATTATTATGTCAAAGAATTGCAGTATTTATGAATGAATTCACCATTAGTATATATTAGGGCTTGATCGATCCCAAAGTGGGACTGTCAATGGGGTCGGGCTAGTCCATACTCGGCTTGCTTGGCTCGAGAAAAAGCTTGATGAGCCGACCTATTAAATATGAGTCCGGCTCAAATTAAATATGAGTCGAGTTTGGGCCTTATTAGTCTCAAACTCGATATAGGTCCGGTCCTTTAATTACTTACATATATATATAATATTTATATTTTGATATTATGTATAATTTTACATCCAAATGTTTTATTAAATGCTAAATATAATTAAAATATATCTGAAAGTTCTTCTACTAGCTTTCTTGAGAGCCAATATCAGTAATACGTAAATGAATATTAACTTTTTTTATTAGTTGAGTAAATTTTTGTGTTGGTATAATATCGGTTGATTTATTTTTGATCTAAAAACACAAATCATCAAGCATATTTGGATTCAAATCACAAGGTTATAAAGAAGTTCCAACCTTTAAAAATATATTGATTTATGACCACATGTTTTATTACTATTTTTCATGTTTTTTTGAATGAATTAGATTTAAATATTGTTGAAAATTTTTTGATTTATATGCTTTTTAAAAACTATTACTTATTCATATTTAGTTTTAATGTTGTAGTCTTGTATAGTTGTACAACTTAATAGTTATAGTAATTATATTAAGAAAATTAAGGAGTAATAAGTGAATTTGAACTAAATTCGAATATTATGTGAGTTGGATATGACTTCATATTTATTAATTTGAAACTCATAATCCAAAATCCGAATTCCGAAGATGTTACAAATTAAATAAGTTGAACTCGAACTTATAAATGCCCGGCTCATTAGGCACGATCCATCCCAGAGTTAAAGTGAAAGGGCTCGACAAAGAGAAAAATGGAATGGAAGTCCCCACGACCATGAAACTTTACAACTCAACCTGGGAATGGGAGCCAAAAATATAAGAACAGAAACAACAACGTTTGACGTTCTCGTCCGTATGAAACCAGAATGCCCCGCGTCAATCCTCGCACTCCCATGCCATCTTTCCTATCCCCACTTCCAAACTTGTTGACATTTTCTCCTCCACTCTCTCTCTCTCTCTCTCTCTCCGCAAGTTTTCAAGCCTTTTCTCTTGGATTTTGATCATCTCATCCCTGCAAGAACACTAGCAATCATTCTCAGATGTTGTATCCATAATTTGAGAAAGGAAACAAAATGGACGACCGTGGCTTGGAGGACGACGACAGGGATGCATTGGCAGGATTATCAAACTTCCCGCCTGTGCCCGAAAAAACTTAATCATATAGCCAACAACTGCGTACAAGCACAGGATCACATCACAAGAAACATCGCCAAGTGCGAAAACACAGCTTAGATGATGCTAAAACCATCGGCATTGCCAGCAGTAATAGTTACAGCTATTTCTTGGAGAATTCATCTGATGATGATGATGATGATTTCTACCCCTATTCCACCACTGTTGGCTCTGCTTCTTGTAACGCGGACTATAATATTAATCATAGGATTGATGGATTGTCAATGGGGGATGGTGGTGGCTCTGAGGAATACGTACAATATCAGCATCAGCATCCGCCGCAGAACTACCAACCATTGCCGGAGTTTATGGGGAGTGGGGGTGGAGTGGGGATTTTCAAGGTGCCTACTCGGGTTGTGGTACACCCGGGCTGCCCTCTTTGCCTTGAGCTTAGACCACATCCCCTTAGAGAAACTCAGGTAAGCCGAAATATATTTACAAAATGGGGAAAAAAATTTAGGCTGTTAGATAGTTATCTGTCAGACTATTAGGTATAAGTGCAGTTTGTGCCGGAGTTGCAAGTATCCCGTTGGCTGTTTGAAAAGAGAGATTTTGTTTTCTATTCCTGGTAAGGATATTTGAGCCAGTTGCTGCAAACTTATGTTATGTCATGATGGCATACTTGATCCATGGTTTAATAGCAACTAGAATGGAATGACTAACTTTACATTGTGACCGATTATTGGTCTTACATGACAAATGCACTTTGCTGAGGGTGCTTGGGTGTAGAACGCATTAATTTTCTTTGTAGTTTAGTGGTTTTAACAAGTTTTCTCAAACAACTTTGCTTTTGAAAACTGAGAATTTCTCATTAGAAATGCTATTCTTGCAAGCTTGAGCTTCTCTTATTTCTTTACACGCATCAGTTGGTTTTCACTAATGATTTACTACCAGGGAACTCTCTTTTATATGTGCTGATATAGTGGCTTTATGGATATGAGAAAAGACATCAAGGTTCTGAGGGCGTGAGAGATGAAGATGATCATCGGGTGCAAATGTATGGTTCTGATGAAGAGGTCAAAACTCAGATTCCAACTCAAGCCCAATCTATTGTTGAAGGGTCAGGAGCAGTTCTGCTGTCTGAGTACAAGCCTGCCCCTGATGTGGACTACATACAGGTTTAGTATATTTAATGTGCAAACTGAGGTTCAGATGGCAAGAAGTTTTGACCACAATTTTTCTTTACACCACTTAAACAGTATCAACAATTTTTTGTTACTTACTTTCCATGTACCTCTAATGGGATCACCGTTTTGCATTGTAATCTTTCAAGCATGCCATACTTTAGGCAAGAGAGCATGCAGAATGACCTTAGATAGTTTTCATGCCTATGTGTGGATAAATTTACTTGACTCATTTCAACAGAAGAATTGGTTAGATAGGATGTCAATATAAACTATTGGCAAAGCATTTACACTTTCAGTGTTTAGGTTTTCAAAATTTCCATTTGTTTGTAAGTTGCAAATCCTCACAATAGAAGTACCTTTCGAAAGGCTACATAAGAGAGTTTCTTTCACTAGTTTGATAAAGGCCCTCTTGCTTCAACTTTGAGTATTCAACTTCAAGTAATCATTACTTGGGTAAAGGCCCTTTTGCTTCAACTTTAAGTATTCACCTTAGTGAGCAGAAAATAAATCAGAAAGATAAAGAGACAAACTTGATTATAACTAATTACTCATTTCCTCTTGGTATCATTGAACTTCTGGCGGGTTTGTCGAGTCTTCAGGTTTTAGATTGTGTTGGAAGGTTGATATGAATGTCTTAACATCTTCAATGCTTTTGTAGATTCACAACAACTTATGTGAATATTCTTTTGTGTTCTTAGGAGTTACTAGCAATTCAACAACAAGGCCCAAGGGCTATTGGGTTCTTTGGGACAAGAAATATGGGATTCATGCATCAGGAACTTATTGAAATTCTCAGCTATGCTTTGGTCATAACGGTATTCTGTAGCTTGAACCAATTCATGAAATGATAGTCGACTATTTCAGGCTGTTGAGTTGGTCATTCCTTTTGTCCTTTCAGCTAGAATGAGTATGGTGTAATTAGTATACTCTTCTGTTTCTATTTCCAGAAGAACCATATTTTCACATCTGGAGCATCTGGAACTAATGCTGCTGTTATTAGAGGTGCTCTTCGTGCTGAAAAACCAGAGCTTCTCACTGTTATATTGCCTCAAAGTTTGAAAAAGCAACCTCCTGAGAGTCAGGAGTTATTGGCTAAAGTAAGAGTTACTGTCTTTGCTTAATTAGTATTTTCTTTTCGGTATCTGTGTTTCTTCTCTATCCTTCTGCTTTTGCTCATCTCTCCTTTTTTTTTTAATAAAAAAATTTATTCTTTTACTTGCAATTGGTTGTCTTTGAAGTTGGTAGAATCGCCACAATGTGAGACAACAGGCAAAAATGTTTTTTGTCTCACCTTTATGATCTCTCTTGAATTTTCTCATTTGTGATTTTTAGGAAGAAGCGCTACATGTTATACAAATTTTCTCCTACAAATACGATGTACTGGGATGTCAAAAATGGAAAAAAGGAAGCCATGATATAGGTTGCTGTCAACAAGTATCTTGGGAGGAAAACATCTAGTCACTATATTATGAGTGACCAACTAGTATGTATAGGAGTACAACCCTAACAAACTATTTACAAAAATACCCTTACTAATTTATTATTTACAAGAATACTTATATTCTCTTAACACTCCCCCTCAAGTTGGAGCATATATATCATAAGCACCCAACTTGTTACAAAGGTCTTTCACCCTAGAGCCCCCTAAACTCTTGGTAAACACATCAGCCAATTGATCTATAGACGGTACATGAGATGTCTTGATGACCTCGTCAAACAATTTCTCTCGAATGAAATGACAATCAACTTCAATATGTTTTGTCCTTTCATGAAACACTGGATTAGACGCAATATGAACAGCCGCCTGATTATCACACACTAAATTCATAGGCTGTTTATGTTCAAACCCAAGTTCAAATAACATGCTCTTCAACCAAACCAACTCACACACAGTGTGAGCCATAGCGCGGTATTCAGATTCTACACTTGATCTGGATACAACTGTTTGCTTCTTACTCTTCCACGACACTAAATTACCACCAACAAACACACAATATCCTGTAGTCGATTTTCGATCTGAGGCAGAACCAGCCCAATCTGCATCACTATATCCTTCAATATCAGTGTGTCCATGATTTTGATACAGCAACCCTTTTCCAGGAGCACTCTTAAGATACCTGAGAATCCGTATAACAGCATCCAATGACTAGTACGAGGGGTATCAAGAAATTGACTCACAACACTCACTGCAAACGAAATGTCAGGTCTCGTTACAGTGAGATAATTTAATTTACCCACAAGTCTTCGATATTGCTTAGGATCATCAAGTAATACACCTTGATCTCCTGCTAATTTCACATTGGGATCCATAGGAGTATCCACAGGTCGGCAACCTAACATCCCAACTTCACTCAACATATCGAGTACATATTTCCTTTGACATAAATAAATTTCATATTTAGACCGAACTACCTCAATACCCAGAAAATACTGTAGATGACCTAAATCCTTTGTCTGAAAGTTTGCCTGCAGATTGGATTTAAGCTTCTGGATCCCCACAACATCATCACCTGTAATCACAATGTCATCCACATAAACAACTAATAAAATTTTACCAGCATTAGAATGCCGATAAAATACAGATGATCTACTCCACATCTTGTCAGACCGAACTCCATGATAACACTACTAAACCGGCCAAATCAAGCTCTCGGAGACTGTTTCAATCCATATAAGGATTTTTTCAAACGACAAACCAACCGCGGATTCTCCCCCCTGAACAACAAATCCAGAAGGTTGTTCCATATATACCTCTTCTTCCAAATCTCCATACAGAAATGTATTTTTCACATCCAATTGATGCAATGACCAATTATAAGTGGCTGCCAAAGAGATAAGAAGACGAACAGAGGTAATTTTTGCAACAGGAGAAAATGTTTCTAAGTAGTCCACTCCATACACTTGAGTAAATCCTCTAACTACCAGACGAGCCTTTAATCTATCAATAGAATCATTAGACTGCACTTTTATAGTGTACACCCATTTACAACCAACAACAGGCTTACCTGAAAGACGAGGGACAAGATCCCAAGTACCATTTTGTTCCAAAGCAGACATCTCTTCTTGCATGGCTAATCTCCAACCAGGATGAGTAAGAGCATAGGTAATAGACTTAGGAATGGAGATAGAATCAAGGGAAGCAACAAAAGAAGAATATGACATAGAGAGATGAGAATAAGAAACAAAATTAGAAATAAGATGGGAAGTACAATGTCTCTTACCTTTGCGTAAAGCAATAGGAAGATCTAACTCAGAGGAGGACGTCATACCTCGATTTGAAGAGTGAGAGTTAATTGGTGAAGTGCGTGGCATATCAGGAACTTTCTCAACCATGGGACGACGAGAGTAAACTTGAAGATGAGGACGAGATAATCGAGCTATGGAATCTGGTGGATTAGATAATTCAGGTAATAAAGGGGAAGGGACTGGTAAAACAGGAGAGGAAAAAGAGTGACACTGGTCTAACTCACAAGACATACTTTGTTTGATAAAATATGGAGTGGATTCAAAGAAAAAAACATCAGCACAAGTAAAAAATCGATTTAAAACTGGACTGTAACATCTATACCCTTTTTGCGCTCATGCGTATTCTAAGAAAATACACTTAATAGCACGAGAATCTAATTTATCCACCCCGAGAGCAAGCTGATGAACAAAGCACACACATCCAAAAATACGAGGAGGTAATTTAAACACAGGTTCATGAGGAAAAAGAATGGAGTGAGGTAATTGGCCTCCAAGAATAGTAGATGGCATGCGATTAATTAAATAACATGCAGTTGGAACTGCATCACTCCAAAATTGTTTGGGCACATTCATGTGCAACATAAGTGTCCGAGCAACCTCGATTAAGTGTCCAATCTTTCTTCCAGCAACTCCATTCTGTTGTGGAGTGTGAGGACAAGAGAACTGATGAATAATACCGGACTTAGTCATGAAGGTATTAAAAGGAATGGAAAAATATTCTTTCGCATTATCACTGCGAAGTATACGTACAGATACACCAAATTGATTCTTTATTTCTGTAACAAATGCACAAAAAATGAAATATAGTTTTGAACGATCTTTCATTAAATAAAGCCATGTAACTCTTGAAAAATCATTAATAAAGATTACAAAATATTTAAAACCTAACTTTGAAGTGACTCGACTAGAACCCCAAACATCAGAATGAACTAACAAAAAGGGTTCCGAAACCCGTTTATTGACCCTAGGGGCAAAAGAAACACGATGATGCTTTCCTAATTGACAAGACTCACATTCTAATGAAAACAACTGACTCAAGGTAGGAACCAACTTCTTCAAATTTTGTAGAGACGGATGACCCAAACGACAGTGAATTTCAAGAGGAGAAACAGTAGCAGGACACGCAATCGGACCATTAGAGTTGAGAAAATAAAGACCATTATGCTCGCGCCCTCCACCAAACGTCCTCTTTGTCTTCGAATCCTGAATAACAACAAAATCAGGAGAAAAAATAACTGAACACTGTAGAAATTTGGTAAGCTTACTAACGGACATTAGATTAAAAGGCAAATTTGGTACGTAAAGAACAGAAGGCAGCGGAAGAGATGGGTTAATTTCTACAGTGCCTAATCCTTTAACTTTAGTTGTAGATCCATCAGCTAAAGTAACATGAGAGAAGGAAGTAGACTCTTGAAAATTAGAAAAATTTCTAGAGGTACCTGACATATGATCAGTAGCTCCGGAATCAATGATCCATGAGTCAAAATTTTTGGAAGTGGAGAGACAAGCCATAGCATTACCTTTTTGTGCTAAAGAAGCAGAGGGAAGAGATGCGGGATTTGCAGTTTGGTACTGCAGAAATTTGACATAATCTTCCTCGGATATGGTAACAGTTTTCTGGGACCCTTGTGCTGAAGAACTTGATTCAGCTTGGTCAATGGTAACCGCATTAGCAAATCGAGGTGGTTTTCCATGTAAATCCCAACAAGTATCATGAGTGTGATTCTTCAAACCACAATGAGCGCGGTTGGTTTTCCATGTAAATCCCAACAAGTATCATGAGTGTGATTCTTCAAACCACAATGAGTGCACTCACGGGTGCCTCGACCTCCACGACCCCCACGACCTCCTCTACTTCTTCCTCCACGAGAGCCACGTCCCAAGTTAAGTTGCTCTATCCGACCATTGTTAGCAACTAACGCAGATTTGTCATTAATTAGAGCACCATCACCCTGTGCTTTGTCCTTAGATGCAGAACGTAAGACCCGAGCATATGCCTCTGCAAAGGATGGTAATTGTTCACCTGCTAAAATTTGAGATTTGATTGGTTCAAATTCTGATTTGAGACCGGCCAAGAATTTGAGCACAAGCATTTGTTCTCTTTGCCTCTGCATAACTGTAATATCACTTGAGAGAGACATTACGGCATTTAATTCTTCTGAAACTCGCTTCAGATCAGCAAAGTATTCAGTTACTGTCTTGTTATCTTGTTGCAACTGAAAATACTCCAAAGAAATATCATACATCCGTGAAAGATTACTACAGTATAATAACCGGACATAATCTCAAACTTCTTTTGTTGTCTCACAATGAGAACACATGTAAGCAATTCGTGGCTCCATAGAATTCCATATTGCTCCAAGAATTTGGGCATCATCTTGAATCCACACTAGTTTCTTGTTGTCCTCCGTAGGAGAGTCACCTGTGAGATATCGTTGCTTTCCTAAGCCTGTCAGATAAATCTTAACGACTTTTGACCACTGTTGATAATTAGTGTCATTCAACTTCCAATTTGTGATTTGAGGCATCACCATTGGCATAATATTAGTAGACGTCACAATACCTTTTGATAGACTTTCAGCCATAGCGAAAGCACTCCAAACCAAACGAAGGGTCAAAACTCGAGATGAACAGCAGCGTGAACAGTGCCGTGAACAGTGTCGCATGAACAGTGCTGTGAACAGTGCCGTGAACAGTACCCCCGATGAACAGTGCTCCCGCGTGAACAGTCGCGGTGAACAGTATCGCGTGAACAGTCGCGATGACCAAAACTTTTGCTAGATGTTTAACCCTAACCCTAGGACTTTTGCTCTGATACCATGTCAACAAGTATCTTGGGAGGAAAACATCTAGTCACTATATTATGAGTGACCAACTAGTATTTATAGGAGTACAACCCTAACAAACTATTTACAAAAATACCCTTACTAATTTATTATCTACAAGAATACTTATATTCTCTTAACAGTTGCAAATCCTTGTATGAGCCAAAGTTTGCCATAATTTAGTATATTTGGTCATTAAAAGGTGATTTCACTTTTGTTGTTGTTGCACACATGTAGAGTGCGCCTTCATGGTTATTACACTGGGTCAAGGCTCTTGTTTTCTGTAAAGCTACAAAGAATACATGCATATGTTTCATCTTATCACCTGATGGCCTTACCTTCATGACCACCATCACCTCATATCATCTGGTTCATTACATTGAAATATGGGATGAAAAGTTGGTCCAAAATTGCAGGAAGTACAAAAGTTTGACACTGAAAAATCTCTGTAAGGAACTTTTGTTAGTACTAGATAAACTAGAGAATTTACTCTGGCTTTTTCTGTGCTGGAGTATCCTGGGTACAGCTTCAGCATTGAAGCACCTCTTTTAAATAGTTTGTAAGTCAATAAGTTTGCTTCAACTTGTCAGTTTCAGGCTTGATTTAGCTATCCCATGATGGTTGATTGTATGCTAAAGCTACAATTTTACTGGTCTTAGACTGACTTGGGGTTTATAATCTTTAAAAGTCAGGAATAGAACATGGGTTATCTATTGATCATTGTCATGGTTGATAACTTGATTGCCAAATTGCTCAATACAGTTCCTCCACTGAGGGGATTCCAGCACTTCTCCAATGACATAATGGGGACGAAATTTATTCAAACATGAGAACACGCCATATATGTCTGAGGAAGTGAACATATGCTTTATGCATCAGGCAAAACTAATTTAAGATGCTTTTACGTGACTAATGAGAGTGATAAGTTATTTAAGTCATTCCTAATATATTACTTTCTTAATTTGCAGGTTCAAAATGTAATAGAGAAGCCTGATAATGATCATCTTCCACTTATAGAAGTCAGCAGGTACACAAGGGAGCCTACAGAGGTTCCCTTTCCTCTTGGCCTCAAATTTCTGAAAATTATTTGCTCTTCCTTCTTCCTTTCCTCACCTTAAAAAATTTTTGTGTGTGTGTGGGGGAGGGTGGGGGGGGCTTTAGACAACTGGGGATACCAGCAATGTCATTTGTTGAATGCTAGTTTCACAACCTGCTACCATTAACTCGATGGTTTGAGATTCCTCCCCTAATAACTTTTTCTTATGATACCTAATAATACATGTAGATAGTTGGATGGCCTCTGGATTATGTATAGATACCTTATGAAGTTCATTACCAATTATCCTGGGTAGGGTACATCTTTAGCTTAAAACTGAAAAGTCACTATAACTTATGATGTAACCCAAGATTTAAGCAGGGTTGTAACTAGTGAAAAAGGGGACTAATTTCAACCTATCTGACAAGTATTTGTTTTTATCTTTATCATTTTTATTTTTTATATTTTATTTTCTGGTATATCTAATAGACTTCCAAACTAGGTTAGGCTAGTGTCTTCCCTTCCATTTGCCTAAAGAAGCATTTCAGTTAGGAAGCGTAACACTGCTTTATGTTAGGAATCTAGTGGCTTCTCAAAGATAACCAAATAGAAGGATGCAGTAAATAAAGTTCTATCCAGTTATACTGGAAGTTTTACATACCAGTGCTTCTTTTGCTTCGCTGATGGAAATCTGTAGTTTTGGTATTGAATTTGCAAGCATTTAAATCTAAACTTGTCATGATCAATGCAGGCTGTGTAACATGGATATTATTTCACAAGTACAGCAAGTTATTTGGGGGCGGAGAAATGTTCTGCAACATGCATTTTCATGTTTCCTTTTTCAGCTGCTGTTTGGACTCGTGTCCAAGGAAATGTATGAATTGCAAGAAAGCTGAAGGGTAGTCTGGGGCATTGATTGGCAGGTAACTCACTGTGCTCGGAATAACTTTTGTCTCCTGTGTGTTAAAGTGTGGTTGTTGCTGCCACAACCTGCTTACTCTGGAGATGCAGAAATCAAAAGCTATTCCTGAAGAGTATAATGCCAACATCATCAGAGATGTCTGAAGCATTGCTTTGGATCCGCGTCCAGTTGCTAGATTGAGGCAAAACCGAATCCAGTAGCTAGACTGAGGCAAAACCGAATCCAGTAGCTAGACTGAGGCAAAATCCAGAGCTGCTTTTAGAATTACCAGTTTTCTTGCTGTTTTCAACCGACCCTATTGCTTTGTTCCCTGTGTGGTTTACTAGTAATAACCCACACGTGAATATATTTTTTCAAAATATTAATCTTTAATATAAATTAAATTTCTGTGTAAAACCTTGATTATTGGTGTAATATAAGCTAAGAAACTGTATAATGAACAAAATTAAGCAATTGGTAGTTGAACAAAGTGTTTATTGTGTGCAAAGTAATTAAAAGTTTATTGTACATTCTATAGTTGTAAAAATTCTGAAAATGGAAGATTATCATATTTAACCTAAGTTGTTGGTATAATATTGACTAATAAACTATATAATAAACAAAATATATTGTGTCAAACCTAGAGCTGTTAAACGAATCGAGCTGTTCGGTAGCTTGGTTCGTTTCGACTCGTTCGTGTTCGTGAAAGACTCGTTCGAAACCTTAAACGAACCGAGTTCGAACGAATTTTTTTGTTCGATTAATAATCGAGTGAACACGAGCATGTTTGCGAGTTTTAACGAACGTTCGCGAACATGCTAAACGACGTTCGCAAACGCGAGTATGTTCGTGAGTTTTAACGAACGTTCGTGAACATGAACATAATTATGTTTGGATTGCAGTTTATTTGTTAAAATATATTTGCTGACATCTTCATTACAATTTTCAACACACTTTTTTATCTTTCCAATTACCTTTTTATCTCACATACATTACATCACAAAAAGTGGTACAGTAAAAATATCTCTAATAATTCACAATCCAAACAAACCCGATCATTTGACAAATTTTAGGATTAATTTTATGACTGGACTTTTATATTTGGAGGACAAATTATTTTGTTTTATTTGTTGTTTTTATGTTAATGTTAGTTATATAGTTAATAGATAATAGAATTTAGTCACTTAGTGCTTTAATTGTTTTTGAAAATGATTAATGATTTGCATGGCATATTTAAGATTTAAAATAATTTGGATTTGAGTATTTGAAACATGTTCGCAAACAGCTCGTTTATGTTAAACGAGCCGAACACGAACTCGAACTCGAACACAAATTTTGCTTAACGAGCCGAACACGAACATAGGTTTGGAGCTCTAAAATTAACGAACGAACACGAACGTTGTTCGAATCACTTAACGAACAGAACTCAAACATGAGATACTCGGTTCAATTCAGTTCGTTTACAGTTCTAGTCAAACCAGTGTATACAACAAAACCTGAGCAAAATACATACTAAAACATTCTGACTTTGATGCAACAAATTCTTATTAATTCCAGTAATTGTAAACCTTTTCTATTATATTTTTTATAATTATAGATAATTTTTTTTGAAGTTTTCTTAGTTAATATGACATAATATAGTGATTTTAATCGTTAATTTAATCGTTTGCTTTCTCATTAGCTTTTTATAACCTTTTGTCTTCTTATTAATTTTGAATTTCTTCCAAACCAATTTGTATATAAAATATAGTTAACTTTAATTATCACACATAAGAATATAATAATTGGAGATAATTCATACATATACAATAATTGGAGTTGAAGAAAATGATTGATGAGTAATTGGAGTTGGCTTGACAAACCTAGTGACACAAGTTGAATCTCTCTATGTTTGATTTGCTAGTTCGATGAACCTTTACATATTTATTTTTTTTATTAGTAGTGAAATTACTTATATGTTCCCGATATTTTTATTATTTATTAAGATGAAATGTCTATTTTATAAATATAACAATTATTTTTTTAAGCTCAATTAGAGGGCTCGAGTTTGAGTTTGGTAAGATTAAGTCAATCTCACAATTAGACCAAAACTCAAGCCCTAAATACGATAAGGACCTTTGATTTATGTTAGTGTTGATTGCCCACCCAATGTGTGTGCAATAAAAAATACATACTAATATTTATGCTCATTAAATAAATTTTTTATTACTGAAGCAAACTTTAATCTTTTAAATATTTTTCATAAAATAATTTTATATTAGTAGTTATAATATTTAGCAGTAGTTATATTGAAAACATATACTTAAATAATTAAAAGTAAAAATAGTCATAGACAGTTATATATAGTTAAAGTAAAAGTAGTTTTTATATGAGTAAAAATGCAAATTTATATAATGACGATAAATATTAACTCCAACACTAATTCCAAACTCCAACACTAATTTATATTGTATAGATATTGATATGATGGCTTGATTAGTAGTATAATATGATATTGATAACTCTTGCAGTTGAAATCTAAAACCTTCTTTGTCCTAAACTCGTTCTTATATAGTATAAGGATAAGGAAGTATAAGGATAAGGATATGATATGTGAGGTGATCAATACTCCCCCTCTTCCCGTAATAAGCTTTTTTTTTTTTAATTTATTTATTTCAAATTATAATCTATTTTTCAATTTAAAAAAATGAAGGGGGAAGCAATCGGCGAGAAAATATGAGAAGCTCCTCTAGCGTCAGCCTCATCTCCTGCTGCTGGCCGAGGTTGCTCGCACCCGCTTCCACTTCCACTTCCACTTCCACTTCCACTTCCAGCTCATCACCTCCTCTGAGAACGATGATGAACCCAAAAATAGATGCTACAAAGTCCCACAATAGATCAATTACTAGCACAAGTTCAACTCTTCTTTCATCATCATCATCTAGTTCTACTACAGTTGATAAATTCCAACAAGTCATCCATTCTAGCTCGACAGGTAATTATTTTCATCAAGACCAATCATCTTTGGACTTAATAATTCCTGATCATAATGCTGATTCAAGATTTCTGTTTTTTTTTTTAAATATTGGGTTTTCTTGGAGAGTGGGTAGATGGTTGGCAAAAGTGCTGGGAACAAGGGTTGACACCATGGGACTTGGGGCAGCCTACCCCAATTCTTGTCCATCTTCATAAGACTGGTGCCCTTCCTAATGGCAGGGCTTTGGTCCCTGGTTGTGGTAGTGTGAGTATTATCCTACTAGTTTAAAGTTCTAATTTTTCCTCTTTTGCGTATCTGGGATTTCTGCAATTGGGTTTATGGATTGGAACTGATGCTTAGAAGTGTAGCACATGCTTGTTGGATTCAATTGTTGTACGTTTGGGTTCATGGCTGTAAATTGCCTGCCTTGGTTAACTTTTGTTCAAGATTTCATGATTGTATAAATCACTGCAATATGGTTGCTTTTGGGTCCATGCACTATTGCCAGGTAGCTACAAGTTTACTGCTTCAGGTGCGTTGTGAACACAATATTTATTGAACGAGTAGCTACAAGTTTACTGTCACTCTGTCTTCTTTGGTTTGCTATCATGCTGAGAACATTGGTAGATTAGTTAAGTGCTTTTATTGCAGAATAGCTATGTAGAGGAAAATTTCAGATTTTATGCATTAAATGCAATCCGCTCAATGAAGTGCGCTTCATCCCATGCACTACAGCACCATGGTACCCTTGTGCTATGGGGATTAGGTGATCCAGGTTTTTGAACATGGCAGTGACTATAGGAAGAAAAGAAATCAAGGTTCTTTTGACTTCACCATACTGCAGGTTTCATTTTTATGCTGCATGTTTGCTTGCTTTTAGTAAATTCACCCAGTTGACATTTGTAATCAAGAGTCTGTACTAAGGAATGGTGGAGATCATCTTGGAAATCCACATAAAATTTATTCTTTTTTTTTTCACATTTTCTGTTTTGGGTGGTACAAAAGTTGGCGTAGGTGTTCTGCAGCTTAGTTTTAATTCTATACTGGTTGTGAGTCCAAAGTCGTTCCTTTCTGTTCTTCTTTCTTTTCTCCTTGACTTATCAATGGGCTTTTGTCTGCTGCAGGGCTATGACGTCGTGGCAATTGCCTGCCCTGATCGCTATGTTGTTGGCCTGGATATATCAGAAGTAGCTCTTGAAAGAGCCAAAGAGGTAACTACTTATTTTCCGAATGCCGTTTTTGTCCCCTCACACTGAAGTGTATTTTCATTTATGAAAAGTTTGGGCAACTTTCTAGCTGGTCAATGAGGAAGTGCTAAGGCATCAAGGGGCATTGGCTAAATGTTGGTCACTAAATGCACATAACATGTGTTAAATGTTATTAGTTCTCATCTTGAGTCATTTACTATGATACATTTGTTCAGAAACGTTAAAACTCTAGGCTCTTGCCATAATTATCCTCTTTATTCTTGGAGGAACAACTGCCTTGGATACGGAATGCTAGGATTCCTTGATTCGAGTTCTCAGACTTGATTTTTTCTGAATGAAAAACATGTTCTAAGTACTTTATACATATTATTATCCATTTTCTCATACTGTTGTGGAAATGTTTGCTTACGCGGCACATCAAGGCAGTTGTCCTCATTATCAAGCCAAGAACACTTTGAATTCTTGAAGGCAGACTTCTTCACATGGCGTCCCACTCAGTTGTTTGATCTCATTTTTGACTACACGTGAGTATTAGATGACCATCAGTTGATTGTCATGTGAGAAGAAATTTTTGCTTGCTAACTATTGCACGAATTCGCTTGCAGATTCTTTTGTGCCATCGATCCAGATATGAGACCATCTTGGGCTGTTGGAATTCGAGACCTTTTAAAACCAGATGGAGAGCTCATAACTCTGATGTTTCCAGTATGCTATCATCTCGTCAAATTGCCTTTCTCAGTGTTTTACTCTGAAAATGATTTCACCATGTTAGCATCTGGAATTTGTGTAGTGCGATTATTGTAAGAGTATAATATATGTGTTGATAGATCTATTGTTGAATGTGGGTTAGACAATTGACTGGAATTCTTGCTTGTGTGTTATCTTCTAGTTTCATATGCCTAACATGTCTGATAGGAAGGTTAGCAACATCTTATTTGCACAATGTTATTTTAGAGTAAATTCTGTGCTTTATCCTACTAAATCTGGTCAACATTGCTTTTTGAATAGTTGTTCTTGAATTTTTTAGATTCTCATTATATTTATCTTCTCTTTCAACAGATTAGTGATCATGAAGGGGGACCTCCATACAAAGTATCTACTACTGAGTATGTGCCAATTTTAGTTATCATAATCA